CCACCATTCCATCCAAAACCATTCCACTCATCGTAAATCTCCCATCGGGATAAAGTGAAATTGTCTGACCGTAAAAGCCATGAACTTGACACTCATTAGCGATGACTTCTTTATAACCAGACAATCCAACTCCAGCCACACTGTCTGAATGGAGATGCCGGCAAACGGCAATATCCCCAATGTAGATTCCTGGAGCCATATTCATTAGCTGCAGTCTTATTGTCTTAAGACCTAAACTAGAATGGCTGTCCGTACTGATCATGGTGGTCCGTCTGAATTATCGATGCATGTGGGTGCTGAGCATCTCCCCCCCCCCCCAGTATTCTTCCCCTGCCACCAATTTGCTCAGGGAAAGAGACTGCAGTGAGAGGCAATTTTGAAGTGAAGTCTATACCAGGTCACACATTCTCAAGGCAAGAGACTATCAGAGTGAACTGTAACAAAAGCATTCCTGTTTCATTGTTCACCCCCTGGCTCGTGACCAGTTCTGTGAATCACTTGCAATGGCCTTTGGCACAAGGATGACGGTGACACACTGCTGTGATTTATAATGCCAAAAAATTCCCAGGTCACCTCAAATTTACACTTGACATCATCTTGCTTGATGAGTTTGTACCAGACAGAGTGGACAGCTTGAGGGTGTTGTCAGAATGGGTGTGTTGGGGGTGGGACAGGAACACGGTTGGGCCACCACTGGGTGAAGAGTTGTTGGAGAACTGTTTGAGGTGCAGGAGGGTAAAATGTCAGACTTAGGGGTGATGAAGCTCTCAACATGTATTCAAGAATGAGATTCTGAAGGCAAACAGTAACAGAAAAGTGAAGTACAGGTACATGCCCATAAAGGGGATTAGCAACACACATGCATGTACCGGTAATAGCAACCTCACGATGTCAAACAATTGGACTTTGCCATTTTAAATCCCGAGTCTCATCAGAGCCTGAATCTCTGCCAGTTTCCCTCCCACCCAAAAAGTAACTTTCCAATTTGACAGGAGACAATAAGTCTGAAAGCATCGGCAACAAATTACTGATATCCAACTACAAGAAAAAAAATGCAAAACAAAGGGAACAAAAATAAAAACATTTCCAGAGAACTGAGCGAGCGTCATTAGGCAAGTAACCAGATCGTGCTGTGCAAGTTTTTATCGGCGCTCCCACAGGTCACTTCAGTTTCGCACAATGCGCCTCACTAATTCACTTACGACGCTTTCATTAGGGGCACGCAGGATGCAAATTTACAACGATGCCAGTCGGATATTGACGGCATTACAGAGAGGGGGAAATGGCATCTGTATGAGCATCAGCTCCGTTTATTTGTGTAAGTCCAATCGCAAACTACATGTAGCTCATCCGAGTCAGAAGCTCATGCTTCTTGTCCAGTTCCTGCCTCTCTAATTGATTACTTTTATTCATGGAAGCCCAATAATTGTTGGTTGAGATTTCAAATGCGATAAGATTTATGGTTGCCAGACCGTTTAATGATGCCAAGCAATTCTTCTGGGGGGGGAGGGCCTATGGATGTTTTCATATACATGTACAAGTAGATTCTCTGTACAGCCACTATTCAGACAGTAGTTTGGGGGGTTGTTGCATTCCTAGATTCAATTTAAATTTGCCACTGACTTGGCATTTTGCAAGATAAAACTCTAAGTTTGGGAAACAAAAAAGAATTATTACTATAGTCTTTCTTTTCATTATCTTAGGAAGCGGCTTGGATGTTGAGATTATATTAGGGGTTTAATTCTTTCTTTATTTATTTATTTCATTTATTATTTATACTGGGGAACTCATTCAGTTTAAAAAACTATTCTCCCATACAGGGTAAGTCCGAGATAATAAAACTAAAAAATATAATAAGACATTGGGAAAAGATAAAATTAAGTATAGACAATTACAAAAATCATCGGAAATAATTACAAATTTTTAGGGGACATATGACATTGAAAATGTAAAAAACATTAATAAAGACAAACATGTTTAGAAGGACTACCAACAACAGTGCAGAAAAGCAGTTAGAACTTATGTGCACAGGCATTGGGTGAAAAGCTTCTTAAAATCTTTAATGACAAAGGAAGTTTGTTCCTAAATTGGACTCCCCAGAATTGGAAGGTTCTCTTACCAAATTCTGTTCTGGGACAAGGGAGGCAAAGATTCCCTGCTGCACACTTTCTGGGTTTTGTTATTTCTTTTTTTGGGGGGGGGGTGTTTATTTTATCAGACTTGCGAGTGAGTCATTTCCAAGATGGACAAGTTTAACTCCCCCTCCCCTAAAATGTAACGTTACCGGTACACCTACCACACTGGACGCAAGTATTAATGGCCTGTCAGAGTGAGAGAAAGAAAAAAATAGAACCAAAAAAGTCACACACACCATGCAAACCACAGTGCACATTAAAAATTAAAAGTTCAGCTTTCTTCAGCTTCAAATAAACTTCATGCAACTATTTTATCAACTGGTGCTCTTCCCTCCACCAACAGGGCAGAAGTGGGTTTAGGGCATGGGCATGTAACAGCTTCACATGGCCACAGAAAACAAAACAAAATACCCACTTTGAAATCAGACACAGCTACAACAATGACTCAGATCAAACTTCTACCGTCGACAAAGAAATCTACTCCCACTGGCCAACAAAGCTCTTTTCAAAGACTTGCCAGCATTTTCATTCCCTCCTCTGTCCTACCATCCAAATGCATCGTACACACAAACAAAAATCAATAAAGAACAATTAAGGCTTGGAACCTGTATGGTCAGTCGTTGGAACTTGGACAAAAACACTTGATGAGTAACTGAACATCTAATTGCCCCTAAACTCAATAATCCAGACCCTCAGGTTCCTTGAGTGTGGCCACAGTTCTTCCGCAGATCCAAATTATGATAGACCAAGGCAAGGCAAGTCTTTTGATAAGGAAATCTTAAAAGCAATCCCACGCAAAGCTGGGGGGGGGGGTTGAGGGCGGCATGAAGTGTTAAGCCAGCAATGTTCGAGATATGACAAGTCAAGCCTCAGAATCAATAAAAATTCAAATGTCCAATGCGTGGGTGTTGCACAGGTGGCCATATCGGCTACACTGTTCCAAAGCAACATGCGAGTAATCAGGACAATGGATTCTCTCTCGTGACATTTGAGGACAAATCCAATAAACTGGGATTAACAAGCCCTTTTGTTCCTTCAAGCCTACGTGTGAACAAGCCTAAAAGGGGGCTCTAAATTCTCACCCGGTTTTTAATCACCCTGCCATGGGATTCATACTCAATCCAACAACGGGTCATTATTCCAACTTTACTCCCAGCAGAGCAGGGATTTTAGCATTAATTAATGCATTTAATTAACACTCATTCTGACAGAAGGATCTTGCAGTCATGAATGCACATGACGGGACCACTTTTCAGTACGTGCAAGATATAATCAGCTTTGATTAGCACCTGTACGGAACATGTATGCCGTGGATTTTTTTTTCCCTTTTACATCGGGTGAGTGATAATTAAGATTTGACAGGCTCACAACAACAGCATTCTGTACTTTCATTATCAGTACTTCATAGGATACATTTCAGTATTCGGCTTACACTAAATGCACGAAGTCAAGAAGTTAATCCTTTGTTGTGATGGTTTTTTGGAAACATTTGCATTGGAAACTAAAACACCTTGGTTGAATTTTAAACAACTGTCTCAATGTAGTGTGTGCAGTTTGAGAAATTCTCTGAAAGATGTTGTATGCTGGGTCATTGGTGTCGTCATCAAAATTTGGAAATGTCAATTGAATCCTTGATTGAATTAGCAACATTACATCCTCCACAAACATGATCTTTCCAAGAATTTCCGTAATGATTTCATTTCAATTAAAATACTCTCCACATTATGAAGATCTTTGCCCACGTAAAAACCAAAAATATTTAAACGATAACGAAAACAGGGACAATTTTATCTAAGCAAGGATAAGAAAGGGTTGGATTTTATAGTAGTCACAAACAACATAAACCACACAGGAAAGTGAAAGCTTGCTTTTCAAGATTTAATCACATAAGTTACTTGCATACATGTACACACGTATATTATCCAGGGAAACTGCAGGAATTTATCTCGCAGTCAAAGAGTGTCGCGTCCTGATCAGAACGGCACTTCACAGTACTAATGTGTATGGCACAAAGCCCATGTGGTCTGCACGCACCGTCTCCTGCGTGGCCAGGAGATGAATGAGATGTGTAATGGAACGTGACGGACCGTGCAAGGCTCGTCACCTTCACAGAAGGGATCAAATGCCCCCTCTCTGCAGGTTGGCTAATCCTGAGGTGCATTACACATAGGGGACACCAAGACAAATGTTTCCCCCAAAATACGGTCAGCAGTAGGCAGTTTCTATCACAGCTACGCATGCTGTTGCTTGGGCAAATTTTTCCAGTCGGAAATTTCTGAGAAACATTGAGCATACATACTAGTACACAACATAATGACATCACGCTTCGTTTACCCATAGGAAAGCACACGTGTAAGCAACACATGATGCAATTACACTTGTAGGACTATTCCGTATTTCTTCTTAGAAGAATCAAGCAAACTCCATTAGGATGCACAGGGGCCAAATGAAATGGAAGAAAAATAACCCTGTATGGCACTTTGGTTGGTAACCCTATACGAGCTGGCCCACAACACACACATAAAATCACTGGGCACCATTTCCAATTGATCCTTTTCAAAAATCCTTTTTTTTTTCAATTAACTCTTCATGTTCTTCACGCTGCCAGATTTCATCACCCACTCTCCACCTGTACTAGACTTTGAAACACTTGAAATCTCTGCTCTGAAGTAGTACCAAAATTTGAGAACTTGGACTTTGCAGTTTACTGTACTTTTTCAAATGGAAAATTCAAACATGCATGTATGTCTCAATTTTGGGTTTTTTTTCGAGTCAGCGTATCAGTAAATGGCTCATGGTACAGGGCGCACTTTGTACGGGCAAAAAAACTAAGGTTGTTGAGAAAAATCGGGTCAAATATCTCACCATTTGGGACGGCTGGACGATTTGACCAAAGGCGACATGCCCTCGCGATACAGGCTCTTCGTCTTGCTGAAATTGACGATGTTGAAGATGACTCTCTGCGGACAGAAACAAAAGATGCCGATTAGGAAATCATGTTGACGGTGGCAGCATGCGTACAAATGCCAGCGTGCTAAGGTTGCACTCCTTGTGTGTCCAGGTCGCGTTACATTTCACATGCCCCCTCCAATAACCTGCTGGAAATGTCTCAGTGACACAAATTTCAGCTGGTCCGGTCAAATGAAACCCAACTTGTGCTGTGTCTTCACATGTACTGGGTAGTTCAATGACAGGGCAGGTCAATCCTGATTTAAACAAATTGTTTTTGATTTATTGGAGTCATTTAAACCTCTACTTTCAAGTTAAAATACAAGTGATTTTAAAGAATAAAGGGGACCAAAATCAACATTTCGGTTAAAAAGACTTCTTCCTGGACCATTTCGTGGAGCATTTCTTTTCCACTAAAGTAATATTCTTTGAAGGTTCTTTTTGTCACATTCATTTCCTGACTTCAATCTGACTGCTCAGTTATGAATATGCAGAATTACCTGGTCTGCTCTGACATTTTCAACAGTGAAGTTAAACCAGACCCGGAAACGAGGATTGCAAGTGTCCGGACGGATGAAGAGATCGTATTCGTACTCAGATATGTAATCCACTCTTCCAAGATTCCCTTTATGTAAAATGGTGGGGAAAATACAGATATATGCATATCACCAGCATCTGTTAAACTATAATAAACTGAAGGTATGAAGATAGAAACTGCAGAATTGATAAGGGCAGGTTCCCTCCCTTGAGCCTAGAATGAAGGAGTTTCTCATCAAGTGTTTTCAAAATAGGACAATTTGTATTATGCATGTTTTCCTCTGAGTTGAGTTGCATCATGTTTGACTGTACGCTACAACATTCCCTTGACGCTTCTGTTTTAAAGTTTGCGCTAAAAAAGACAACAGATAGTAAATCCTTGTTGGAATTGCTTTCAATGCTTAAGGTTGGTTCAAATATATGCCAATAAGATAGAACATGTACTGGTAAATGTTACGCCATAAGGCAGTCACAGCAAATATATCTCTGTTGATGCATCAACACCACGTTACATTTGTGACTGTTCCTTTTTTTTTTGCTAAAAGGGACCCAGGCCACAAACACCCTTCAGTATCCATGGTCCCATATGCAACAGTGATTGGTCTATGAAAACTTATCTCTTACCACACTCAAAGCACGCATCAAATATGAGATGCCCCTTCTTCGGCATGCCTGTGTAACCCGGGGGAACCACAGCAAACTTGTTGAGGTTCCCAACGACTGCATCATCACTGCTGTCATCACTCCCTGCAAACAATAAAGCAAATAAAAAAGTGTCCACACTTTAACACCAAGAAACCACTTTTAAAAGCCATTTTACGAGGCAACTTAATTTGCATCTTTAACTTGGAGGTTGAAAAACCCACTGGCACTTTCTTTCTCTTCCAAGTCTTCTTTGTATCTCCATTCCTTTTTCTGATGTACTTCTATACATGCATTTTGGTTAGTGTTCAGCTCTCGCTTTATTTCAACAAATACATGTACCTGGAGTTCTGTGAAGGTCAAATTTTAACCGGGAGATCCTTGCACTGTGGCAAGAAATTGCAACCTGAAAGATGACACAAATCTGATGGAATGAGCTGTCACTTGCAAAGTGCAACTGAGTGGGAAGAGGTTAGGATGGCCTGGCCATTATACCATTCCCGGCAGAATCTTTCTCAAAGAAAAATTCTGCAGAAGATTTTTTTCACAGATTAAGCTTCTGAACCTAATGGCTTTGGAAAATGATTCTCGCTAGAATGAAAAGTCAACCTTTTGTAAAATATTGGCATTATGGCCTTGAAACTAATTTTGCCATATCCCGAGACAAGCCAATGGGCTGTGCAAATTATACAGATATTTAAATATTCGATCGAATATGGTATTTGAATATTTCCGAAAGCAAACATTCAACAATGAAATGCAAGAAAAAAAAGGTAAAACTGTAATTTAGTTGATTACAAAACTGCATTCTGTGCTCAGTGCATTTTCTAAGATTCAGTTCTGTTGGATAAAGCACTTTGTAATTATTATCAAATTGACATTGTCATTAACAAAAGCCTTGACCTTTTCCCATTTTTGGAAAACTTGATGTCTTCATGTGTGAAAGACATCAGCTAAAATTCTCACAAAAGTTCAACACCAACAAGGGACAAAAAGGGTTTTATTGCAGGCATTAATCCTACGTAATCCTACGACTAGACATGTTTAATAGCAAACATTCAGTTTATTCAGCAGTTGGACAAAATCAGTCAACTGCCATAAATTTGGAATAGCTTTAAGAGTAATACTCAATCAAACCTGGCATGACATTTACAAACCCGACAGGAAAAAAATCAGTTTATGCCACATGCACACACTGTATGTATATGTAGATTCAAATTTAACAAAAAAACAATCCAAGTTTACAATTAGGTCCTCTATCTTTCACTCAAAATTTCAGCTTGTTATAGATTCTGCTGGAGAGTTGCCGAATGTTGTCTTGACACATTTGTCAAAAACTGGACATCTTCAGACGACGACTTGCACAAAACTTGCATAAATATTGAATATTGGCTTTCGCTACTTGAACTGCGTATGAAACAGGAATTCAGGCATTCTCAAGAACAAATTGATGAATTTTACATGGGTTAATACCTCACAATTGTAACTCATTCTGTGTGAAATAATCTGCAGGCAGTTCGGAAAATGACAAACAGGATTATTCTTCGCCGGACGCCAAAAAAAAGCGATGGAATATTAACATTTTAAATTGCACCTCTGAAATCCGTGACTAAAACATCCACTACAGCAATTTACGAAGTGATTTGACTCGCAACAAAAATGACGACAAAATTCCAAGATGTGGTTACGGTGCCTGCATTCAATAACAATGGTAGGGGGATGGATACAGATCCAATAAAAAAGGTACAAAGTGCAGAAGGGCAACAGAGAAAATTGAGCAGTGGAGTGAGCAGAGAGCTTAGGACCAGATTTTGCACGGTGCTACATCAGTTTCTGCTTTGACTCTTAATGACAATTTACTCTTGATGCTTGATTCGGTCTTGTTGGACCAAACATTCAGTAAAGCTCCTTTCAACCTCCTCTCGCACAGTAATTACTTGGCGTGAGCAAAACTTAACCCCCCACAAAACCAAACAAAATTGAAGGCTTCGTTTTGACAGGGAAGGTAATAAAAGCAAATACCCTTTGCCAAATTTCTCTGAGGTTCTCGAGCGATAAGAAGGTGAATGCGGGTGAAATAGGGGTACAATCTGGACAGCGCCACTGCCAAAAACACACCTTCTTCCACCACAATGGGGAAAACATGAATTTTACGCAATCAGCAAACACTTGGCAAAGTGCCACATGCCTGATTATCAAAGAATGTATACTTGCAACATGGAAGGTGAACTGTGTAGGAATGTATTCATAAAGAAATGATTTAGATGTAATATAAAGTTGATCTGCTCCTACTTTAATGCTATCAATTTAAGTTATGTTTTCATTAATTACAAAGGACTGAAAAACATCATTGCAAATAACATCACCATACTCCCAATCCTAGATAAATTAAAAGAAACAATTGAACATGACTACACTCCATTCAAGAAAATTCGAACAGTTACATTGCATACATGCACAAATTTCTTGGAGAATTAATTACAAAACCACAGCGACCACCGTGAACATTAAGTGCAGATCGCCAGCGATACATAAGCGCCAGTTGTCATCACATGCAACGTCCAACAACACATCCTGCCACTTTCGTCAATTTCCATCCACGTTACACAAAAAAAAAAGCAAAGTACAATCTGACTGATTTCTCGGCCACCGCCAACATTCACACTTCGTTACTGCAGATGTTGGCACGTTTCCATCCGTCTGCGGCGCCAGGCCCTCGTTTCCAGGAGCCTGTAAATGCGACGACGGCTTTATTTACTAACTGCAAAAACCCAGAGTGTTACTATTACAAGGTGTGAGTCCGATTTTGACTGGTGGGAGAGTTTACTGCAAGGAGCAGTAAGTGTTGTGTTGTGTCTGGGAGCTGCTGAGGGCGAGATTGCGGCCATCCGACGGGAAGATTGAATGATCCATGGAGGACAATGGTGCAAGTGTGGAGGTTTTAATTGGCCGCCACACACGGCAGTGAAACGTTTAATTAGAAAGTGGCAGTCGACACTGTCCAAACCTGCAACTTTAAGTGGCTGTACGTATTCATTGTAAACAATTGATGATCTGCAAACTGGCACTGGTACAGACTGGGTACTTGTACATCCAAGAAATCTACCAGTGGCATTAGGGGTAACATTTCTGTGGAAAAATTCATGTCCATAATTGTATGTACACGTAGGTAAAATGTTGAGTGCCCCAATGACCAACAGAAAAATATTGCATAGGCGGGACGGAGACCATGGGTATCGGAAAAACACGAAAAACAAACCTGAACCAGTCACTTTACTCTTCAGAAAAAAAATTCTGCAATTTTCAAAATACCAAGATTATCCCCAAAAACGTTGGGGCTCCTCATTTGACCTTGTTTCTGCTGTTGTGTGGGTATAGACAAGGACAGGGGCCTAATTTCATGGCATTGATAAGTACATACTCTACATGTAAACGATTTAACGCTTACAGAGGCTTTGCATTTCTCATTTAGCACAGCCAAACACATGCTTACCTACATGCGGGAGGAAAAAGTTGCTTATTAGTGATGCAACAATTTATGAAAATCTCCATACGTGTACATGCACGACCATTAGCACGGCCAGGCCAAGAAACCATACTAAAAGTACAATTTTGCAACATTTTCTGCAATAATCAGGGGTACCGGTATGAGCGGTCACTAACAATTAAAGCTGAAAACAGCTAGCAAAAAGCTGAAAGGTAAAAAAGTCCCCAGGATTTTGTATGGACCAGGTGTGCAAAAAAGCTGAAATTCAGGATCAACATCTGAACAAAAAAAAACTGAAATCGGCTAAAAAGCTGAATTCTCAAACCCCTGAACAATAAGCACTACTTTTGCTTACTGTTAAGCCGTGTCACCAGCCAAGTCTATGATTTCACCGAAAGTGATTTCATTTCAAATCCTGAGACAAGACAGGTACATATACTGATACATACCGATATGTAAAGCTTCTTGGAAAGATCTGGACCCTTCAAAGTAGTCTGGTAGATAGCGGCTGACATTTAGTTTATTTATGCAGGATGTACATTTAGGCCTAATCATCCTTGCAGTAAAAAGGCTGAATTACGAAGGACGCAGCTACACGTGCGCAATGTACATGTATGTAGTTGATACAAAGGCATGTGAAGGCAGTCAAGTTGTCCGACATGAACGTAAAGGTGTCTCAGGCACCCACCTGCACCTCAAGTTGGTGCAGTGGGAATGGTTCTTTCTTCACCTTCCACCTCGGCAGTCTGGGTTTGATTTTGGCTTGGTCCACATGTGGATTGAGTTTTCAGTCCCTACCTGTAACTGTAACTCCCTGTACTTCTCACTTTCTCCTCTGGACAGGTTTCTTCAGGCTTGGGAGTGTCATTACCCGAAATAATATAAATAATAAGGACCCATATTTGATCATGAAGCACAGCCAGAGATTGAAAGTCTTGCTTTTTCATAGGAGGAGGAAACAAGAGTGCCCGGAGAAAAACCCTCATGGCAAAGGAAACGAATTAAAAAACAACTCAAATCCTTCCCCCCCCCCAAAAAAAAGTTGGGATGTATCAGTAAGTGCGCAAATTTAAAATTTGCGCATGGGATTTTTAATTTTGCGCAACCAAAGATATTGCCACTTAAACTGCACACAGTGATAAATATTCCACGGTACATAAATCGCAAACAACAGCATAACAAGTATGTACATGTAAACTGTACATATGAGGCGGACATCAACTGCACATTTTGCACAAATTTAATTTAAGTTTTATGCATCGCATCCACTTTTGTGAGCGATTTGAACTGCATGGTGATATCAAAAGTCGCACTTAGAGGGCAAAGGAGGTACAGGCCTGCCGTGACGTGTCAGACGAAATTTCACCCGTTGGTTTTGCATTCTTTCATGAATATTGCCTAGTGAGAACTATTAGACTCCCCAGTTGACATTCAATTTAGACTTTATTTCCTTCTAAAAGATCCTCAGAGCCATTAATTAGAAAAAAATGTGCAATAGAAGTAGGATCACCAACAAAATTAATAATCTGGGAAAATATGGATTTTGAAATGACCCCCCAAACTACTGCATGTACATGTAGTTTGTGCAGCTGCAATTCTACTAGCCTTGATTCAAGCGAAGTTTCCCAGCGAGACTGGAGTCCGTCCTGATAATTGAGACAGCTAGACAATTTTGAAGAGATGGGAATCAGTATTCCAGGATTCCCACCCAGTCGACGGCTAGCCATCATGACTCCCTCAAGAGTTGCACGCATTCAAAGATAGCATTCAACCTCATTTGCGCAGATTTAAATATGCAAAACCTAATAGAAACTGCACAAGTAAAATTGCAAAAGTTGCGCACATTTCAAACATGCCCACTTTCAAAGATTGCAGAAATTTACACTGAACAGGCGAAGCCATAATCAGTCCTAATTTTGTCCAACACTGACATCACTATTCCCAGTAAAGTTTATCATTAATATCTTTGTTATTTCAAAAGCTTAACGTTTCCATGTGCAACTTTTGTGTGAATTATATTAATTCATACATGTAACATTTATGCTGGATTTATCTTTATTTTTTGTATGTACATGTTGGCCTATAAAGGGGCAGTGCAGA